AGAGAGAGACCCTGAGGGACAGAAAATCGGAGGGAGAGAGAGAAAGGCTCCAACAGAAAGAAAACCAGAGAGAGAGAAACCCCAATATAGAGAGAGTTCAACTGAGAGTAAATCATAGGCGAAGCTTCACATGCAGAGAAAGAGAGACAGAAGCCAGGAGACAGAAATTCAAGAGATGGACCCAAAGACAGAAACAGCGATGCAGAGGATCGGAGAGAGACAGAGAGCACAGAGAGCCCAAAGCCTGCCTGCAGAGACCGAGAGAGGCAGAAAGACACAAAAAGACGGAGACGGAGAGAGGAAATAGGATCCCACGGGCAGACACAGGCCCAGGCTGCAGACAGAGGTGAGAAAGCGAGGAGAGAGGCAGGTAGAGGAAAGAGAGAAAGCGCACGGGCACGTCCTCGGACAGAACCGAGAGCAGCAACTTGGGCAGAAGTGAGTCTGGGGGCGCCTCTGCCACCGCCCTGCTCCCTGACTCACTCTGTTCTCAAGAGTAGCAGCTGGTGCTTTAGGACTCGCCCCCCTCTCCGCCCCCCATAACTGCCGGCCGCACCCGGCCCCCACCCGCCCATTGTTGACCCCACCCGGCCTGCCCCTGCCGAGGACGGTTGATGTTGTCATGGTGACGGCAGCCTGGGGGTGGGGCCCTGACTTTGCATCTTCAGCCCCCCCTTCAGCTCCCCTTTTCCAAATCTCCCTGTTCCCATGGTAACAGATTCTCCAAATATCTGTCCCCACCTGGAGCCGGCCAAGGGAGGGGCCCCCAGCACCACCTCCGCGGTGGCCCCGCCATCAGAGCTCCCTCCCCACCACAGGCTGTGTCTCTGCCACACCCCCCGCCCCGGGCTCCCCCGCGCCTCTCTGGGGACCAGAGAACACGTGTGTCAAGAAGCCTCAGCTGTGGGGCCCCAGCCTCCACCCTCCAGAGGGTCCCAGGAGTCCAGGTCCCCAGCTCTTACCTTGACATTGCAGACCCTGTTTTCCAATTCCCCTGCAAGAGTCAAGGATCTGAGGTCAGTGCAGAAAAGGGTAACCAGGATCCCCTGACATCTGTGAGCCGCAGGCAGCCTCTGACCCTCCTCCCTCTCGGGAGCCAGGAGTCTGAGCTCCAGCCCCCTCCTCTTTCAAGAACCCAGAAATTCTGGCCCCCAGCCCCTCCCCCCTCAGACCCAGGAACCCCGGACCCTCAGCACCTCCTCCCTCAATCCCAGGAATACAGGCTCCCGGACCCCCGCGTATCCTAGGACCAGGAGCCGGGTCTACAGCCCCCTCTTTCCTCATTTCTCAGGAATCTGGTGTGACAGGGATCTCTACCCCTGGTCCCCTCCTCCCTCAGGCCCCCAGCCCCCTTCCCTCACCAGATGAAGTCAGTGCAGTGGCTGCAGAAGGTTGGCTGCTTGAAGAAGCGAGCGGTGAACTTGTGGCTCTTGACTTCGTGGACCACCTTCTGCCTCAGAGCCCCCTTTCTGCAAAAGAGGGGCCGGGGCCCGCCCTCTGAATCGCCTCCGCCGGGGCCCAGGCCTGCCATGGCCCCAGGAACGTCGCAGGGACCAGGATCCTGCCTTTCTGGGGGAACAGGTGGAAGGGCGAGGAGCCGGAGAGTCGGGAAAGCCGAGGAGCCACAGGGGGATCCCGAGGAAGGGAGAGGGGTAAGGCACCTCCAGGAGCGAGCGTGTGGGACCGGCAGCGGCCCCCCGGGCGCGCCCAAAGGGAGCGGGCGACTGGGGCGCAGAGCCTAGGGCAGGGGCGCGAGCAGCCGGAGGCACGGGCGGCGGTGGTGGGAGCTCCGGCTCCGGCACCTGCTGAAATGTGGGAGCCCGGGTGGGGGTAGGCGTTGCCATGACGACCGAGGGGCGGAGTTTCTGCTTAAAGGCGTTCCCCTCCCTGATCACAGGACATATGTCCAAATATCCTCTTCCTAACGCTCCCCCCGCACACACACACGTGCGCACCACCCCCTCGCCCCGGGGGCTGGCTGGAGAGGGGAGGCATCCTGGGAGCCGTGCCCTCCCCCACCCCAATCTGCCGCCTTCCTTCCCCACTCGGGTGCCTCTGTGGCTCCTGATAGCCCACGGCGACCCCTCTCAGATCCCTGCGTCTGACTGTGCCACACTGTTTCAACCCACAAACTTTTCATTGGGTGCTGGGATCCGGTGCGAACAGAGAGGCTTGGTGTCTCACTCTCTCCGACGCCACCTGAGTCTTGACTTCTCTCTCAGGACCTCTGTGAATTTCTCCGTCTGTGTCTCCCGCTGAGAGTGTCTCGGTGGCTGATGCTCTCCTTGGATGCCTGGCACGCACGGTCTCTGTTTCGGTCTCTGAGTGGGTCAGGTTTTCTTTCCTGGTCTCTGAGAATTTCTCTGTTTTCTCCCATCTGTGTCTGTCACTCATCCTGTGACCCACTCTGGGTCTTGGTCTCACTGCCCTGCTGTAGGTCTCGGTGTTCCCCCCTTTCTGGGGGTCTTTCCCTAAATTCTTGCTCTCTCGCTCTCTCCCTCTCACCTTGTCTTTGTAAATGCCTTTCTCTCTCTCTGCAAATCTCTCTCTCCGACTGTGTCTTTCTCGTTGAGAGTTAATCCCCTCCCCATTTCTCTCTCCTTCTATCCTTGTCTCTTATCTCTTTCTTTCTCTATATCTCTTGTCTCTTCTCTCTCTGCCTCCTTCCTCTCTCTGTCTCTCTCTCTCTGTCTCTCAGTCTCTCTCTAAACCCTGGCCATCTTTCCCTCTCTCTGTGTCGCTGTCTTTGTAAGTGTTTTCCTCTGTCTCTCCGTGCTTGCCTCTTCTTCCTGTCTCCCTCTGCCTGTGCTTCTCTCGACCCAGTCCCTCCCTCTGTTCCTGGCTGGGGGGTCGCTCTCCCTCTCCCTGTTCTCCTATCTTTGTCCCGTTCTCACCCACTCTCTACTTATCTCTCTGATTCTATGAATCTCTGTCTCTTGTGGGGTGGCGTCTCTCCCTCTCTCTGCTCTGTGATTCAATCCCTGTCTCTCTCTGGCTCTGGAGTTCTAGCATTAAAAATAGTGTCTGGCCCTGGCTGGTGCGGCTCAGTAGATTGAGTGCCTGCCTGCGAACCAAAGAGTAGTCGGTTCGATTCCCAGTCAGGGCACAGGCCTGGGTCGTAGGCCAGGTCCCCAGCAGGGGGCGCGTGAGAGGCAACCACACATTGATGTTTCTCTGCCTCTCTTTCTCCCTGTCTTCCCCTTTCCAAAAATAAATAAAATCTTTTTAAAACTTCAAAAAATAAAAATAGCATCTGTTCCAGGGTTGGGAGGGTCTTTCCTAACGTTGGCTCTGTGAATCTCCCCCGCCCCCCTCTGTCATTCCACCGGCGTCCCTGTTGCTCTCTGGCCGTGCTCCGCCCCTCCCCCAGCTCCCGCCGCTGCCGAGGGCTCGCCGGCAGAGCACCGCTGTTGCCAAGGGCAACCGCGGCACGCCCAGAGCTGCGGGCGCAATGCCTCCTGGGACTTGTAGTTTGAGCCTGCGGACAGTCTGTTGTCGCAACGCGGCCGAAAACTTCCTCTCCCGGCATGCACCGCGAGGCAAGGCGGTCCCGCGGCTCTGTCGGGGGACTCGGGACGTCCACCACCCTTGGTCTAAGAATTTTCGGGGTAGGGGTACCCCGGGGTGGGGGTACGCCTTCCCAAAGTCGTAGAAGGGGTGAGAGAACAGCAGTCTTCTTCTACCACCACCATCGGGCCCTCTCGCCTTCCAGCCACCTCCAGGCGTCCGTCGTGCCCCAGAGCAGATAGGGGTGGGAGTGGCCCTGAAAGCTGACCTCAGAATTCCACCGCGCTCGGTTCCGGCGCCCCTGGGGTTCTTCCCTGTCATCTACGTTTCGCCCCCGGCTGCTAGAGCGATCCCCTCTGGCGCTTTCCAGAAGGGGTTCAAGCACGGGATGCGGGATGGGGAGAGACAGCCCCCGCTTCGGGGGAAGGAGACGCCCTTGGAAGAAGCAGGGATAGGTGCAGGTCAGAGTTCTGGGGTGGGCACTGCTGTGATCAAAAGAGGCTATACCTCACCAAAATGGGGTGCCCGTTCTAGTTAGTCTTCCCTCTCTCTTCCGGCGAGACCCTCCCCACCCTTGCAGTTTCTCTTCCCAACTGCTTTTGCAGGTGTAGGTGCAGAAAATGGGTGGCACAATTCTGGGATTGCCTGAGATTTATGTATTTATGATTCTCTGGAAAAACAGGCTGGATGACCTTGTGTGGGACAGAGACTACTCATCTGATCTTTACCAAGGCCAGGTGTGACAGGGGATTAGAACGGAGTGGGGGCAGGGAGAAAAAAAGAACTGAGAGGGGAATGTAGACAGGGTCAGATCCTGAAGGCCTTGAACGCAGGACTAAAGGGCTTTGGTATTACCTGTAGGTTAAGTTGAGTGGGATATGGAAGGATGTGAGCAGGGAGGGCAGGATCCCACCTGGATGTTGGGGGCACCCTCAGGGCCAGGGTGGGCTGGAGGCAGGATGGTCAAGGAGACTGGGGCAATAGCTCAGATACCACAAAATGAAACCTGAGCTGGGTCAAGAACTTGGAGAAGGGGAGATATTTTATACACACACACACACACATGCATGGCATTTAGCAGGAAAAATAGACAGTGTTTGATTAGCACCTGACTGACTGAGGGAAGGTCAGTAAGAACAAGTGTCTGGGTTCTCAGCCCTGAGAGGCCAATAGAGATGGGGAATCTGTGAGTGTTGATTTTGGAAGAAAGATGCTGCACTCAGATGGGACATGGTGTTTCTGAGGTGGTCATGGCACCCCAAAGATGAAGAAATTGTGTTCCTTTCCATCCTAACTAGCTCTCCTGGTTTGGGAGAGTAATTTGGAAGATCCTGACTCAGCCCGTATTTTTCTGATGAAGCCAGTTGTCTTGGCCCCGCCCCCTCGTCTCACCAGGCCCTGGAACCTGGGCCTTGCCCTGCCTCCTGGAGTCCCCCCCCCCCCCCCCCGCAATCATAACGCAAGCACAAGTCTTCCTTTTATCTTTATATTGAGGTAAAAAATAAAATAAAGAAGATTACGGTTGTGGGAGTGGAGGAAGGGACGAGGCTTCCTTCTATAATTGACAGCAGAGGCTGATGGGAACCAGAAGCTCCAGGGAATTAAAAAAAAAATAAAATATATATTTGTACCATTTATATATATATATATATCATGTTATGCGTGTGAGTTTCAGAGAAGCAGGAAGTAGCAGCAGGAAGCAGCTAGCACACAGAAACATGCGTGTGTGTATCACACACTCAAGCAGTGCAAATCCTGACTACGGCGACAGCAATCCCCACCTACCCAACCCACCCACAAATTTTTTTTTAAATGGAAAAGAAACTTCCCCTTTAAGAATAGGACCATCCAGTAATTTTTGCCCTTGTGACAGGAAGAAGAAAAGAAAAAGCCCAGGCCACCATTCCAGGTAAGGCCAGCAGCGGCCATTTTCTTCCCCTCCCAGCAAAGGCCAGTACATGCTGTTTTTAATACTAAGGCTGGAACCTCCCATCTCTGCCCCTCACAAACCCTTCAGACATCTTGATACCCAGAGAGCAGTTGGGATGGAAAGCATCCATCACGCTTTGCTTCCTTTAAGAGGGCCGCGAGGCACGGGGTTTTACTAAGGCTGGCAAAAATTCTGGAGCCAATCAGGTGAGGCTGAGTGTCTCTGTGATTTAAGCATCCCACCCACTAGAAATTATTAACCTCCAGGGATTTTTTTGTTTGTTTGTTTTAAACTTAAAAAAAGAGATGCATTGTAATACCCCCGTCTCCACTGGGAGAAAGGGGGACCAACCCACAGATACCTGCCCCCACCCCCTTCCCAAACACACATACACACACACCTACTAAGGCACAGCTAGGGTGGGCACATGCTTTGGCAATGAGGCCTCTCAGGGGGCCCAGGGCCTGAACAGCTGCTAAGAGGGGTATGGGATGTGGAGCTCAGCACCTTTGGAGTTGGGGGTGGCAGTGAGGGGTGAATGAAGAAGTGTCAGGGCTCCCAAGGAAATCAAAGGAAGGAAATGGGACGCAGTCAGGGCGAAGGCAGGTGAGAACACAGGCAGGACGGCCCGAAAAGAACCAAGCAACAGACTCAGTAGAAAGGAGAGTGAAAAGAGAGCAAGGCAAAACAGGATGTGGGCAACCGAAAAAAAAAAATAAAAAAACAGGAAGGGAAGGAGATAGAGCATCAGGACAGAGGGGGGAGCAGGTGGAAGAGACAGGAGATAGTGAGCTGAATGGCAAGGAGAAGAGAAGGGGAGGAGAGGGACCCAGGAAGAGAACAATCAGAGGAAATCAGTACTCAGTAAAGACACCTGGGGAAAGAAGTGGATTCGGGAGCTCCTGGTCAGAACCTCAGACCCTGACAAAAACCAGGCGGGCCGAGTACACCAGGTCAGCCACATATGCCAGCAGGTTGATGGCCGTCAAGATGGCCACAGCCAGGCGGCGGTCCCAGAGGCACACATAGTAGCTGTGGCTGTTTCTGCAGCCAGAATCCTTCCACCGCTCCGGATAGCCGCCATACTTCTCGTCGAACTGGTAGAGGGGCCAGAGGACCATGGCAGAGGCATAGAAGAGGACAGAGAGCAGGGCCAGCCCGGACAGGAAACTGGGGAAGGGGATGGGCAGCACGTTGGTGCAGTCGTACAGGTTCAGCAGGATGGCCACCGCGGCCAGGATGAAGCAGATGGCGTACACGGCCACGCACCACTCCAGGGCCGGCTTGTGGTTGTACAGGCTGGGGCTACTGATGAAAGCAAAAATGACGCAGGCCACAAAGGTCTCGACCACTTTGAGCAGGCCTGGCACCGTGGCCATGTAGCCGGTGATCTCGCCGGGCCGGGCCCGGGTCCAGGCCACCTCGGTGGCATAAGCCACGCAAGCGATGGAGGAGAAGGCGGTGGCGGCGATGGCGTGGTCCTTTGAGCGGCCATGGGACATGAACTGGACGTAGGTGGTGGGGTAGATGATGGAGGCTGAGAGGCAGAAGAGGGCGGCGTAGCAGGCGAAGGTGATGGGGAAGTTGCGCCAGGACAGCGGGAAGCGAGCCTGGAGCCCACCCAACTCCACGATGATGATGATGAGGGTCACGGCGAAGCAGAAGCACCAGGCGAACATACACCAGTTACCAGTGAACCCGACCCAAGCGTTCACGCTGGCCACCAGCGAGAAGGCCACGCAGGTGGATAACAGCTGTACCAGGCGGAGGAGGCCCAGGGGCTGGGTCAGTGCCCGAGGGGACCCCAGGATGGTGGGGGAGCCCAGGCCTGGAGATGCCACGGTGGTGGTCGTGACAGTCGTGCGGGTCACTGTCACCGGCATGGCTGCAGGGAGGGGAAAGAAAGTGTCCAAAGAAGGTTCCAACCAGGAGAATCCAGGCTCCCAGCCTTTTTGCCCCCCACCCCAGGGGGGCAACGGAACCTGGACTCTCGCTGCGGCAGGCGGAAGGTATCCCACATGCAGGCCTTTCCGTTTTCAAACTGAGACAGTCCCAGGCCTACTAGGGTGACTTAATCTGATTTCATTAACCAGTGTCACCCCAATAAATTCAGTGTAAATAAATAAACAACCGCAGAGCTTTCTTCCAACTCAAGGCTGCCTTCCTGGCCCCAGAGATTCAGCCACCCGGCATTCAAGACCAGGCTCTTAGGGACCCCCTCCCCTGCCTCCCCCGGCACCCCATCAGAACAAGAGGCCGTCCGCTTAACAACCCATGTCTCGTGCAGCTTCCCCCTTTACAAGGGCCCAGGGCTCTGCATCTCAGCCCGCTGTCCCCAACTCACTCCCTCTCCTAACAAGCTGCGATAGTTCCAGCCTCCAAACGTGGAGCGCAGCTTCCACGTGCATGCCTTCGCGGGGACTCACATCTGATCAGAGCTCCCAGCCAGTCCCTGGACCTAGCTCTAAGCCTCTGGGCAGCACCCCCTCATTTCCCCACTCAGAAATCCGGAGTCTCTGCCCTCAGTCTGACTCCCGCCCTGGAGGACTTCAAACCAAAGGAAGTGCGGCTTCCTCATGCCCATCCTCCTGCCCCACATGGAGTCCAGCCCCCTCAGGACCGCAGCCATCTATCTAGTCCCCCGCCATCATGGAAATTAATCCAGTCCCCAGGTTCTCAACAGTCCAGTGCCCGGGCCCTTCCGCTGAAATCTCTAGGCCTCACCTGCCCCATGACACACCTTCAGACCTTGGGATTCTGGGCCCTCGGCCCAGAACACACCAGACACCTGCACTCAGGGAAATCCGCCTCCGGCTTCACTCCCTCCAGAACCTAGAGCTTTCACCTCCTGTCCTAAAGACCCTCAGGGACCCCGTACCCGGCCTGCTGGGGATCAGGTCCTCCTTCAGGCCTTTAACATGTCTCACATCTGTTGCCTGTCATCCCTAAAACGCTCAAAAGGCCTCTCTCAGACACAGGGAAATAAAACTTCCTTCCAGCGTCAGGGACCAGTTTAACAGGCTTCAACCGCTTCGGGCCCTGTCCCTGTCCTCGCTGCACAGCGGCTCCCTGAGGGCCCGCTCCAGTACCCAGGTGTGGTGCCCCAACTCCTCGGAACCCAAGCTCCCAGGTACTTCCCTCAGGATCTAGGCGTCGGGGACCCCAGTCCCATCCTCCCTCAGACCCAAATATTTAAAACTCCTACCACCCCGACCCCTCCCCCCTCAGACCCGGGAGCCTAGGCCTCCAGCCCACTCACCAGCGGTCTTAGCTGATGACCCCTTAGCTGATAGCACAGAACGATCCGGCTGCGGAGGCCGATGAAGTCAGACACCTGGAAAAGGTTAGTCAGAGCTTAAGAAGGAGGGAGAACCTCAGCGTCCAGCTCAGCCCCGGCTCCGCCCTCCCGCGCCCCAGGCCGCCGTCCGGCCGCGGCAGGAGGCTCGCCCCAACCCCCAAGCAGAGACCCTGCAGCAGCCCGGGCTCACCTCCCGGCAGAGCCGGGGTTGGGCGGGGTGACCCCAGGGCAGCCCCACTTTCTCGCGGATCAGCGAACCGCGGCGGTGACAACGAGGCTGCTAAGCGAAAGTGCACGCCCCGCGGGCCGGCGTGGGCGTAGGTGAGCGTCACCCAGCCCCCGGGGCAGCGGCGGGGGAGGGCCCTGGGCGGAGGCCGCCGGGCAGCTGGCCCGCCCGCGCAGCGTCTCCCGGCCTTATAAGGACTTCAAGTCAGCCCAGCCATCAACGCTGTCGTGGGGGACAGGAGGCGGCGCTGGGACCCCCACCCCGCGCCGGCCTCCGGGATGACCCGCCCCGCCGCTTGGTTTCGGGAAAGGGGCGGGGGGGGGGGCGGGGCGGAGAACCTGGACTCCAGGTCCTAGTTGGAAAGGCCTGGAACCCACATTTCTGGGACGTTCACCATGTGAGTTCTGGGACCCTAGGAGGACAGGCTGGACGCCTGACACCCTCCCCCCATCCCTCCAGGAGGAGTGGCCGGGAACCTTGATCCCCGGGTTCACCTGGCGGGAGACTCGGGGTTCGAATCGAATGCAGAGATAAGCAGCCACACCGCCCAGCAACTCCAGGAAGGGAGGTGTCCCGGGCCACCTGGAAGGTGCCGCCCCACACCCCTCCCTCCAGGGCCCGTTAGGAGGAAGTCGGGACAGCCCAGGAGGAAGAGGACAGGCGAAAACATCCACGTTGTCGCGCGGGAGGCAGGTTAACGCTGGGGCCACCTCCGGGGTGGCCTGAGACAGAGCTCAGGAATGCGCGGCCCGACCCCGGAGGAGGGAGAGTAACATCCCTTCGGCTTCGCGGCCCGACTCCGGACTCCTCCGGCCACACCCTGCCGTCCGCCCACCTCCAGGAGGCCGAGCGCCACACCCCACCGCTCTGCAAACTGAGCATCGCACCGGGGGACGCGGGCCCCAGCCTTGCTCTCCCTCAGCCTTGGTGCCCGGCCTTCCCAGCTCCGTCCGCGCTTTGGGAGCGCGGGTGCTGGACCTCGGCCCTGGCCTTTCCAGGCCAAGTTCGGGTTCTGTCTCCAAGATTGGGAGGTCAGTCATTCTCAATCCCAGCCACAGTCTTTCCCAAACTCAGGACTCCCCCTCCAAGCTCCTCCCCTCCAAAGAACCTCCCGGGACCACACTCTAGCCCCTTCAAAGCAGAATCCCGTCCGTCTGCTCCCTGAGATCAGGAGTCTGGACCCCAGCGCCCTCCTCCCTCAGACCCAGGGGTCCAGGCCCCCAGCCCCTCCTCCCTCGGACGCAGGGGTCCAGGCCCCCAGCCCCTCCTCCCTCGGACGCAGGGGTCCAGGCCCCCAGCCCCTCCTCCCTCGGACGCAGGGGTCCAGGCCCCCGTTCCCCGTCTCCGTTCAGACGCAGGACCTGTAGGATTCCAGCTCCCCCGCCCCCTGCTCGCCGGAGCCCGAGTCTGGCCCAGCCCCAGTCTTTCTAGGGACTCAGACACGCTGAATCCCAGCCCATCGCTCCAGCATCCAAGAATCCTGGACCGCTGCTCCCACCCTCGGAATCCCCGCAGCCTCACCTCCCGGGCTTGTGGCTGCCGAGCTGAAGCAGAGGCGACAGCTGCAGACGAGCAGGGTCTGCGGACTGGGTGGGGATGGCGGGCTGGGGAGCGGGGTGGGGGCGGGGGCGGGGCCGGCCCAGGGCTCCTCCGAGCCAGGGCTATCCCCGCGCCCGCCCCGGGGCGGGGCCAACGCCAAGACCCCGCCCCCGGGGGAATAGCTGAACCTGCGCTCTCCCGCTTCCCGGGCCGCGGCTGGGAGTGGAGGGCTGGAGTCACTGTCGCCATGGTGACAAAACAGGAAGACACAACAGCTGGCAGAGTGGGGGTTCCTAGGGGCTGCCCTCCCCGACAGAGCGCCTAGGCAGTCTCCAGGGGAGGCCCGGGGAGGCCGTTGCCATGGCAACCCGCCTGTTTAGCATTTGTTTAGGACCGAGACCCTCCGCTCAGGTCCCCGCCCCGGTGTCACCCCACTCTCCCTTCGGCCTTGCGGCCCCCTCCCTCCCTCCCCGCCTGCTCCAGCGCAGCCTGTCAGGATGGATGAAATCTTGGGACATCTGGGTCGCAGGGGGTTGGCGACCGAGCCTCGGTTTAATGGGGTGTGTGGGCTAGGATATCTGTCTCCTAGGTCTCTAACAGAGGAAGGAGGTACCCACCCCTACCTCTCGGGAGGTTTCTGGGCTGAGGTCCCCCAAACTCCTGGGTCCCCCAAAGAACAGTGGTCGGATTCCTAGGCTTAAGGATCCGAGGGTCCACTAATCGTTATTTACACTGGAACTCGCCGTGCAAGGACTGACGGGCTAGACCCCCGGGTCGCAGATGCCACCGTCCGTAGGGTGGAGGACGGGGTGTTGGCCGCCAAATTCCTGGGAACTAGGGCGATAGGAGTTAGGGGGCACCGACTCCCGGGTTCCACAAAACGCCCAGGCTGGGGACCCAGATCCTTGGCTTAAAAGAGCAGTCAAAGCTCAGACGCCTGGGTTTTCAGAGCAGATGTGGTTGCAAGCGGAGCCTCTGGAGCCCGGAACAGAGAGATATTTTTGGCCTGCATTCCTGGCTCCTGGAAAAAGGGAGGGGCTCAAAAGCTTAATGAAGACGGGGGCTGGGGGCGCCAGATTCCAGGTTCCTGCAAGAGGGGAGGGACCGTAGGAGCCTGGCTGCTCGGCCCGGAGCAGGGCGGGGCTGCGGGGTCCTTTTCTAGGGGCGGCTCTGGGGCCCTGACACCGATTGACAGAGCCTAGAAGCCAGCGGAGCTGAGGTCCGGAGACCCGAGGTCGGGCGGGGCGGGGTGGAGGCCGCCTGGGTCCCTCCCTATCGCCCCGGAACACTCACCCAGCTCTGCGGTTGTCCCCAGCGCGGCCCGGCTAGCGGCTGCCGAGGGGCGGAGCCTGGTGGCGGATGCAGATGCTCTGCAACGCCGAGCTAATGGGGCGCTGACCTCGCGGCTGCCGCTGGGTTCCTTCCAGGCCGAGGACGGATGAGGCTCTGAGAAGGAGCCCCGCGGTGAAAGCAGCGTGAGCAGGGCAGGGAGGGGTCGGAAGGGTCCCGGAGCTCGGTAAACCCGGCTGCACGCCCTGCGGAAGTGAGAGAGGCTGGGGGCGGGGGGGGGGGGGGGGGGCCTGGTGCTGGGAGCTCCCCAGCAGTGGAGGTGCGGGAAGGATGTGGGGCCTGTGTGCCCATTGTTGTGCCCCTGCAAAGGGGGTAGGCGCAGGCCGTCTCCGTCATTCTGCGCCCTGCATAGGGAAGGGGCCTCCATGCACCCCGCATCAGGACAGGTAGGAATCAGGACACGGCATGAGAGGCTCTCCAGGGACATCCGCAAACGCTATCCACGCCCTTCCTTGGCCCCCAGGGTAGCAGCGTCTCCCCAATCCTCTCCCTCCTGCCCAAATCAGTCACTCCGTCTGCTTGACCCCCGGTGGCCCTCCTGAGATACCCCAAAAAGTGCCGGGGCGGTCTGCACCCCCAAAGCTTACGCTCTGCTCTGCTCTAGTGTTCGCTGGTAGAAATACTTTCCTCTTTAAGCATGAAAACCCACAACCACAGAGTTCAAAGCAGGGAGACAGGAAGCAAACATTTAAAGAATGAGTCATCGGGTATGACCCTGAGAAGTGAAACAAACTTTAAGGTGCCCGGATTGGCTCAGGGTGTTTGCCCCTTGCCGGGGACAACGCCCTGACCCCAGCGACGCTGTTTGCAGCCTGGCACTGTACCCCAGCCTCCAACAGGCCGTGCCTCTGTTCTCTGGGGCGAGCTGCTTCGGGGTGATGGGGTACATGGACGCGCCCATGGACCTCCTCATAAACTGAGTTGCTTGATCTGAAGCGGGGTTGTGTGGTTTAATGGGACGGTGAATAGGGCCATTGAGTGCAGACCCAGAGGCTTCTGTTGGCAGCCGTGGGGAGGGCTAGAAAAGCAAACACAGCCCGGAGGTGAAATTATTCCAGGGAGGAAAAACTCGCTGCCCCACCCGTGGTGGAAGGGGCTCCATGTAATCGTCCGATGACCGGGTATTTGGTTGGTCTCCCTAAGACGCCATCCCATAGTGTGTGGGGGGAGAGTGGCCTTGGCACTGCTCGCTGCTGCCCCAAGGTGGGCCGTCATCAGTGTCTGTGACATCACGGGCTAAACTTGGGGGAATAACTGCTCAGGAGTCCGTCAAGCAAGCCCCAGGGAGGCTGGGGAAAGATGCTGATGGAGAGCCACAGAGTGGTCACCTGGTCGTCCTACCAGATGGCTCAATGGCATCTCCCCTGCCTACCAGATGGCTCAATGGCATTCTCCGTGCGAGAGTTGAGGGGCGGGGCCTTCACCTGGGATACAGAAGAACTGCTTTTCACTCCTGAAACCCTAGGTGAGGGTTTGTTTCTTTGTTTCACACCAACCATGTGAGGGTTGGTTTGTTTCACATCAACCGACAATTCTCCACCCCTCGGGACACCAACTGAGTGTCCTGTGGTTCAGTTTAATCCTGAATCTGGGTATGCTATGCTTTCTTGGAGTTCGCGTCAGACTCCGCAGGTTAGGAGCTCAGTGCCACAAGACCGCCCCCCACTTCAGATGCCAATCGCAAGTCCCAGTCCTCCCCTGCTTCTGACTGGGGGTTCCCCTGACCCCCTCCCAGGTTTGATAATTTGCTAGAGTGGCTCACAGAACGCTGGAAGGCACATCCTTACACAGGAGTCTCCACACTCTGGCTTCTTTGGAAAGTTCCATTCATTCATCAGCAAATACCAGTATTTATGAGTGTCTTCTAAATGAGAACAAAGCAGGCTAAAGAATGAAGATTTTACCTCATTTGTTAGTGACAAAGGATGTAGTAAATTCGTCTGGATATGTGGGGTATTTGCACTGTCCTCAGACGGATTCTCCGTAACGACCTTGCCACGGCCAGCTTCCCCATTTTCATGGGGTTTATTTTCCATGCTCTCTGTTTATCTTTTTTTTTTTTTTTAATTTAGAGAGAGAGGAAGGAAGAGAGAGATAGAGAGACTTGTTGTTCCACTTATTTCTGCATTCATTGGTTGCTTCTTGTGTGTGCCCTGGCCAGGGATTGAACACACAACCTTGGGGTATATGAGGATAATGCTCCAACCAATTGAGCTATCCAGTGTGTATCTTGATAAGACATACAGTGTATCTGTCTGCTCATTCCTGCTTTTTAGGTCGTATCAACACAATGTCAACTACACAGTTAATCGAATAGAATCGATGAGGTATTGAAAGACCAAGTTCCCCGCAGAATAAGCTGTGGAGCAGAGTTAGAAAATTCATGTAACTCCAAGCTAAGATGGAATGTCTAGCTGTATAAGCTTCCTAGGGCTGCCCTAACAAATTGTCATAATCTTGGTGGCTTAAAATGACAAAAATGTGCCCTGTCTGGTGTGGCTCAGTGTACTAAGTGCTGGCCTGAGAACCAAAGTGTCGCTGGTTTGATTCCCAGTCAGGGCACATGCCTGGGTTGCCAGCCAGGTTCCCAGTGTGGGGTGCATGAGAGGCAGCCATACATTGATGTTTCTCTCCCTTTCTCCCTCCTTTCCGACAGAATAAATAAAATATTTTTAAAATGACAAAAGTCCCAAAGGGCAGAGACATTTCTCTCACAGTCCTGAAGGGCAGAGACATCAAGGTGTCAGCAGGGACATACTCCCTTCAAAAGCTCTAGCAGAGGATGGCTTGCCTGCCTCTTCCAGCTTCTCGCGACTGTGCTGGACATTGCAGACCCACACAAGGTAACAGTTCATTCCTGTCTCTGGTAGCAATCCAAGAGTTAGCAATCCAGGGTGGAAGCGTTACCTCCAGGACCTCCAAGAGCCATTCTTGTGTTTTGCTTTGCTGCCTTCAGCAAGGGTTTCCGTTTGGGATCAAACGTGAGCCTGATCATACACTGTGTTGGCACCGCAGGCAGCAGGGGCGGGGGAGGGCAGGGGTTGGCATGCTTCTTTCTTTTTATGTGTACGATCGTGAAATTGTGCACATTCCCTGCATAGCCCATTGTCCAGAACTAAGTTACATGCCCCATATACGTAAGGGAGACTGGGAAATACAGTCTTCAGGTGGGGGAATATAAACCCGGCCTAAATCTTTTATGATAGAGGAGAGAAGTTGAGGAAAACTCCTGATAACCTCGGCTATGGCTCAGGAATATATCACAACCCATATCTCGCCTCAGCTCCAGAAGTGTATCAGGTGCTCACCAAGCCTCCCCCTGGAGGCCATGAAGCTCCAGACTTAGGACGTCCCAAGTGAGCAGGTGATCTCGCCTCCAAATCCTGGTTCGGAGTGCCATACATCGCCCGGAAACTTCGCCCCTACTCGTCCAGTTACACAAGTCGGGATTCTGAGGTCATCGTCGACATTATCCTCTCTCATATCCAGCCCAATACCATGTCCTTTCACCTTTACCTGCCCGGTTCTCTCAAATTCATTAACTTTTGATTTTTTATTTATTTATTGATATTAGAGAGAGAATGCGAAAGGAAAAGGGAAACACAGAGAGAGGGACACATTAATTTGCTGTTTCACTTATTTATGTACTCATTGGTTGATTCTTGCATGTGCCCTGCCTGGAGATCAAATCTGCCACCTTGGCGTATCAGACGATGCTCTAACCAACTGAGCTACCTGGCCAGGGTCAACTCTTGATATATAGGATTAAAACAATTAAAATACAGTTCTGTATTCTCTCTCAAATTCATCAACTTCTGTATATCTCTGGTTTAGTCACAGGTTGCTGTGATTAACAACAAATAATAAACTTAGTGTTTTAAAGGAATAAAATTCTGACACATGCTGTGGCATGAATAGACCTTAAAGACATTATCATAAGTGAAATAAGCCGGGCACAAAAGGGCAAATACGATATGATTTTATTTACATGGGATATCTAGATAGAGAACTCCGTAGAGACAGGAAGTAGAGAAAGGATGACCGGGGCTTGGGGAGGGGAAGGGGAGTTAGTGTTTAATGGGGACATGGTTTTAGTCTGGAATGATGAAAACGTATTGGAAATACGCAGTGGTAGAAAAAATTTTCTTAAAGAAAGAAAAAATGAAATGAAATAAAAAAAATGATTGTACTTAATGCCACAGAAAACTGTACAGTCAAAAATGGTGAAAATGGTAAATTTCATGTTATGTTCCTTTGCCATGATAGTTAAAAAAAAAGAAAGAATAGTCCAGCTAATCTTGAAGACAAATATGAAACTGAAGGACTTCTGTTACCAGGTGTCAGGACTTATTTATTTACTGATTTACTTATTTATTTTAATCCTTGCCTGAGGATATGTTTTTACTGATTTTTTTAGAGAGAGCGAGAGATTAATGGGACACACTCCCTGACCAGGGATCGAACCTGCAACCTTTTGGTGTACGGGAACAACGCTCCAACCAACTGAGCCACCTAACCAAGGCAAGACCTGTTTTTGAAGCCAAACAACGCAGTGACTGGCATTGCACAAAGCTAGACCCACCAAACAGTGGTGCAGACTGGAAAATTCAGAATGCAGCTGGAGAAGAAGATGGGAGATAGTCAATAGGCTGGATTACTCTCTCTTTTTATTTATATATATTTTAAAGATTATTTATTTATTTATTTTTAGAGAGAGGGGAAGGGAGGGAGAAAGGGAAACGCGCCCCCTGCTGGGGACCTGGCCTGCAACCCAGGCCTGTACCCTGACTGGGACTCGATCCAACAACCCTTTGGTTTGGAGGCCAGCGCTGAATCCACTGAGCCACAGCAGCCAGGGCTCACTCTCCTCTCTTAAAAAGAATGAGTATGGTAAATAAAGTTACCCAAATACTGCTGGAATGAATTTTTGTCAGGTTCACACTTGCTGGGCTGCACGGACTAAGGGATCTTCAGAGTGACCCACTTCCCCATGCCCCACGATGACTCAGAAACCCATCTCCAGGGTGTTTCCACATCTACGCAACCCTTCTCCGTTGACTGGCCTTCTCCAGCTCTTACACCACTTAGCGCCAAAGCTGAAAGTGTGCTATGAATAGATTTCTGCTTGCCTTGGAGCAGCCATTTCCTACCAGTGTGCCCCGGTAGAAATTCACATGGGTGTGCCACAAGAATTTTTAAAACACGCGCTATCTGACATTAGTCAGAGGCACTGACCTCTTTTCCCTTAGATTATCAAATTTTTTAAAAATGGCAACAGTCAATACAACAGTAGCCGGCTGGTGTGAATGAATCAGAATTATACCTGTTGGTGCTCTTCCTCTCAGGAGCTCGCCTGCGTCCTTTTCTTCCCCCTCTTTGTCCCCTTCCCCAGGGACAGCACCGTTGTGTTTTTCTCTCCTGAGCTCCACAGCCCCTTCTTTTGCTTCTGTACTTGTTTGCTGAGCCCACACAGCCCAGCTGGCTCACTTCTACTACCTCTGTAACTTTCTGAATAAACTTTCTGTTGTAATGTGAAAAAAAAAAAATAATTGTACCTATTTTTTGCTCAGATCAGCAAATAATATATTTTTTGGTGTGCAACAGAATTTTAGTAATTAATTTATGTGTGCCACAAGAGGCAAAAGGTTGAAAATCACTGCCTTAGAGCAATACTGTCCAGGAGAAGTATAACCTGAGCCACAAATATAATACAAACATTTCTAGTAGTTACATTTTTTAAAAAGTGAAAAAGAGACAGGTGAAGTTAACTTTAATCATATTACATTTAACTCAAATTATCGATGTGTTTTACATCTCTTTGGGGGGGGGGAAATTTCTCAGTAAAACTTAATTGTTGGCCATGGCCATCGAAGTGAGTGTACTCTTTAAAATCCCATGTGTATTTTGCACTTAAAGGAAATCTGTTTTTTAAATTAATTTATTTTTATTTTTAGATTTTATTTATTTACTTTCCAAGAGAGGAGGAGACAGGGAGAGAAACATCAATGCACGAGAGATATATCAGTTTGGGGGCCTCTTGCACGCCCCCAGGTGGGGATCTGGCCCGCAACCCAGGCATGTGCCCTGACTGGGAATCGAACTGGTGACCTTTCAATCCATACGCTGGTGCTCAACATCCAGAAAGATAAATAGATGATGCAAGGATATATGCTCTAACATGAAGAACTTTCTTTCATTGCATTATTTTTCTTCACAATGGTCTTCACATCACAAAAGGCAGTGATTCCGAGTCATTTCCTCTTCTTTTGTTACATGCTGTGGAATTTCTGGATCAGTATCCTGCCGTCAGTCTTCTCACTTATAAGTCAAATTCATTTTCTTTCTTCCTTTTTTTAAGGTTTTATTTATCTATTTTTAGACAGAGTGGGAGGGAGAAAGAGAGGGAGAGAAACATCAATGCATGGTTGCCTCTGGGGCACCCCCTACTGGAGACCCAGCCCACAACCCAGGCCTGTGTCCCAACTGGGAATCGAACCAGTGCCCCTTGGTTTTCAGGCCAGTGCTCAATCCACTGAGCCACACCAGCCAGGGCTCAAATTCATTTTCAATCCATTGTGTAGAGAGAGCATATTTTTTCTGTTCCACAAAAAGGACTTTCATTTTGACAACTGGATCATCTTGCGGTAGAGTCACTTTCTCCCCCAGGTGTTAAAGGAGTAACCTGTCCCAGCCTGGCTTATTATTTTCATCGGAATGGTCTTTGACTTGCTCTTGGCAAAGGAGACAGCAGACAGCAACACGATGATGGCATCCCAGCAGTCTCCGTAACGGGCCTGAAGTCCCTCAAAACACAACCTAAATCCTGGCTGGTGTGGCTCAGTGGACAGAGTGCCAGCCTGAGAACCAAAAGATTGCTGGATCGATTCCCAGTCAGGGCACATGCCTGGGTTGCGGGCCAGGTCCCCAGCTGGGGGTGTGCGAGAGGCCACCAATCGATGTTTCTCTTCCTCTCTTTCTCCCTCCTCCACCTCTAGAAATAAAATAATATGTTAAAAAAAACTTAAAGTCCATTTCAATTTATTTTATTTATCTATTCTTATTGATGAGAGAGAGAGTTGTTCCACTTATTTATTGATTGTTTCATTGATTGATTCCTGTTTGTGCCCTGACTGGGGACCAAACCCGCAACCTTGGCGTATTGATGTGATGCTCTAATCGGCTAAGCTACCCGGCCAGAACAAAGCGCATCTCAGCTTAGATTCTAAGGGCTTCATCTGTAGGTAGAATTAATAAAATAGACAGTTGAAAAGTAAACTCATGGCCTGGGCCAGGTGGCTCCGTTGGTTGGAGCATCGTCCAGATGCACCTAGGATGCAGATTCAATCCCAGGTCAGGGCGCATATGGCAATCAACCAGCAAATGCATGGATGGATAGGTGAAACAACGAACTGATGTTTCTCTTCCTTCCTCTCTCTAAAATAAAATAAAATACTGAATAAATAGGAAGTTGTGGCTCCTCAAGTTGTCAGACACCCGGGACTCCTGCTCTGTGAAGGATTTCTCTGGTCTCTGGTGTCAGGGTGTCTAAAACCCCCTATTTCTCAGAATGTTCTCTGCAGGACTTAAGCATATTTAAACACTATAGACAATGTCTGGTATTTGGGGGAGTTCCTAGTATATAAAACCCCAGTTTGCCCAGGCTGGCATGGCTCCGTGTGCTGGGCATCATCTTGCAAACTGAAAGGTCGCAGGTTTGATTCCAGTTCAGAGCGCATGCCTGAGGTGCAGGTCCTGGTTGGGGGTGTGTACAAGGCAACCGACTGATGTTTCTTTCACACATTGCTATTTCTCTCTCTTTCTTTCTCTCTCCTTTCCCCTCTCTCTAAAAAATAAATGGGGGGAGGGGGATATAAGGGGACTACATTGTAATGGAAAAAACATATAATAGAGATTATATATTTAAAAATTAAAAAAATAAAACCTTTTTTAAAAGACGCAATTTATTTGGGGGGTAGTTTCCTCCTGTGGGCACACTGGTGGGAGCTGGTGTCTGGTTTGGTAGGAAGACCAAGGGAGCGTGTTTGCACCTCATGGATGGTATGGGGCGGACAGACAAGTGAATGCGTCCTCCGGGGACTCTGACTTCGGCAGGAGAGGGGCAAGGAGAAGGGGTGTAGCAGCAAGGGGAAGGTGTCATCAGTGGAGGGAGTGTCCAGGGTGGAGGGGTGCCGTGGAGCTGTCAGCCATGGCCGCGCCCCAGCGGGACTGCAGTTGCCCATGACTCCAAGAACATTCTCTCTGCTATCTCCTCTTGGTTTCCTGCCATCCTGGAGCCTGATCCTCCAGCCTTCCCATGCCTTCTGGGCTGCCCTCCTTGTCCTGTCATTCAATTCCTTCCCTGCTTCTCAGATCCAGAAGCCATGCCTTCCATTTGCAAACCAGAACTACGGTAGGTAGGAGGCCTCGTGGCCCCGCCTGAGACCCTCAGGATTCACCCCCACCCCCCACCCCTTGCAGCCCGGGAGGAGGCTGCATGACCAAGATGAGACATCTTCCTGTTCTTCACGATGCGGATCGCATTAACAGATGGCGGCTTTCGTAGGCTTTAAGCAAAACAGACTGAAGTCTCCTGTTTGGAAGATGTGGGCTGCATTTCTTGGGGAGTGAGGAAGGAAATCTGGGTAATCTGTACAGCTCTCCTGCTAAAGGTGCTTATCAGATCGGAGAGAAATCAAGTGACAATCTAAAGGGAACTGGAGACATAAGCTCTGATGCCTGCAGACAAGTAACAATGTGCCTTAAAAAGTAATTAGGAAGCCTCGCCTAAATGAAACATGTTCCAGAATACAGTATTTTTTAATTTATTTTTAGAGAAAGGAAGGAAGAGAGAAAGAGAGAGCAAAACACTGCTTTATTGTTCCACTTATTTACACACCCATTGATTGATTCTTGCATGTGCCCTGACCTGGGATCAAACCCACAACCTTGGCGTATGGGGACGATGCTCTAACCAGGTGAACTACCCAGCCAGGGCCCAGGATACAGCCTTAAGTGAAAAAGATGAGATGCAGAACAGTGTATGAGGATGTAAACTTTCGTGTGAGAAAATATAAAACAAAGTGTAGGCGTATTTTATAATGTTTGTTTGCGTAAACATGGCAAGGATACATGAGGAACTGGTCAAAAGTGGAAGGGCAAACAATGAGGGCACAGGTGTGGAAGCGAAACTTCTTCATGCCTATGTTTTCATTTAAAATTTTAAACCTGTTAATGTATTCATTGTTTAAAATTATATAAATCTATAGATGATATGACTCAACGCATGTGAGATACTTAGAACAACAGCTCCATGTCAGTACATGCTGATTATTATTCAATATAATGATATAGACTGATATTCTATAAAATAGGCAATGGAAAGTTCTAGACAGGTATAAAAGAGATTAGTTCAGGCCTGGCTGGGTAGCCCAGTTGGGTTGTCATCCCCATACGCCAAAGTTAAGGGTTTGAGTACATACAAGAAGCAACCGATGAATGCATAAATAAGTGGAACAACGAATTGATGTTTCCCTATCCCCACCCTTCCTGTCCCTCTCTAAAATCAGTTAAGAGCCTGGCTGGTGTGGCTCAGTGGATTGAGCACTGGCCTGCGAACCAAGAGGTCACGGGCTTGATTCCCAGTCAGGGCCCATGCCTGGGTTGTGGGTCAGATCCCCATTTGGGCACGTGCGTGAGGCAACCAACCAATCAATGTATCTCTTGCACACTGATATTTCTCCCCCTCGCTTTCTCCCTCCCTTCCCCTCTCGCTGGGAAGTAAATAAACAAAATCTTTAAAAAAAAAATAAAATCAATAAATAAAAATTAAAACAAAACAAAAGAAACAAACGGAAGGCATCGATGCAGACCAGAGGAGAACGAGAACGGGGCAACTGGAACTGGTGTGGATGACAGACTTTTTTTTCACTATTCACTGTGTGTGTGTGTGTGTGTGTGTGTGTGTGTGTGTGTGTGTGTTGTCGAGGGGCTGGGGGAGGGGGGCGGTTCTGAATCCTCTACCGTGGTACGCCTGTTGCCAGGTCAAAACAAATAACCACGCATGCATTTCAAGGAGCTATTTATAACCTGACAGGCAGGGAGCTTTATGACGACAAATGAATACAGATGCCTTTTTCTATGGAGCCTCTAGGCGGAGACGAGAGGAGCAACTATCCCCCTCCCCGTCACAGAGTCCAGAGACCACCTGGCCTGGCTGACCTCTGCTTGCCCTCGGGGACCTCTCAGGGGCCGGATTCCAGAAGGCTTCCATGAATACACCTCATTTCAGGGAATAGGGCTGAACCCGGGCTTTCCCCACTTGCAGGCTCTCTAAATCTGGAGTTCAAAGGCGCAGTTCCCGGAAAACTCACCAGAATAGCTCAAGATGGTCTGCAGAGCCCTTGAAGGAGCAAAGAATGCCTTTGTCCCAGGTATGGAAGAGAGAACTATTTCTTCCTTTCTCATTCAAAGCAAGGAAACACAGCAAGTACACAAGACATACACGATCGATTGTTGCTCACCCTGGTCCAGCAACTTAGTTGGTTATGCAACCAAACACAGATCCCACTCCCTGCCCCTAGGAAAGCCAACCCTTGAGAGGCAGGTGCTGATGTAAAGGCAAGTAGTGTATTCAGATGCCAGCCACCTGGAAGACGGGGGACTCACGTCTCGAGGCCCAACTCCACCTCTCAGTGCAGGCAGGGGTTTTTATAAGGAGGGAGAGGGGAACAGAACAAAGACATCAAGGGCGGGGGGCGGGGAGGTGTTGAAAAGTTCTCTCCGCGCAGCAGAGCACAGCCCATTCCGATGAGGCAAGTGACGTGCGGTGAGCTCACGCTGGTTCGTCCTGCTGGCTCCGCAGTTGAAGGTCAGCAAATCTCCCAGACCTGGGACGCCTGAAGGTCGGGTCCGTATCTTTTGAAGTTAGTTCCTAGGATTATTACACAAACATGCTTTTCATCTACAAGCTACATACTGGTCAGAATCAGTACTTACAGAAACAACGTCAAAAGAATGGTGGGGCGGGTTACAATTTCCTACTGTTACAATTTTCCCCTGGTAACAGTTAGAATGTCATCTCAACACGCCAAGGTTGCGGGTCTGATCCCCGGTCAGGGCACATATAAGAATCAGTCAATGAAAGCAGAAATAAGTGGAACAACAAATCGACCTCTCTCTCTCAAATCAGTAAATCAAAAATTTACAAAAAGATCATTGCTGCTCCCTGCCCATATTCAAGGGAGCCGTGATAGACAAGCACACGTTCACCCACGAGCTGTCTTGCATAGAGAATGCACAGGACGAAAAGAGAGAGATGTAGAGGCTGCTGGAGGTCTGTTTTAGACCGAATGCTCAGAGAAGGGCATTGTGATAGGGTGACTGCTGAGCTGAGAGCTGACGGATGGGAGAAACGACCACCCAAAGAGTCTAAGGAAGGCAGAACATTCCAGAGAAAGCACAACCAACTGAATGTGCTAACCGGCTCAGCAACTTGCCCAGGGTGGTGGACACTGGGAATGGAGTCTCTCCTCATTTGAGAAAAAGCAAGGAACTGCCAGAGCGTGTTCAAGGGAAACAGAACATCTGGAGGATACCAAGGACAGGAATGCGGGGGTGGCAACTGTGAGTTATAAATGATTTCTCGCAGCCAAACTCTTACGCAGATTTTTTTTTTTTTTTTTTTTTTGAGGCCTTACCATTGCTGAGCAAACCTATTGTGTTTTCTTTTCCTGGGCCTGGCCTGCAGGTGTGCATATCCCACGCCTCCCTTCCATGCCTGCAGATTTACAAATGCACCCCTCAGATTTATCTAATATGATAAGGAAGAGGCAGAAGAAGTTAGGATTATGCCATCATTTATGTGAGGAAAGGTTTAGAAACAGGAAAATATTTTCCTGTCTTCTGGGTTTTGCATGAATGCTGGCAAGATGCAAGAAAAACCCGTCAAAGTGGTGGCCCATGAGGGAAACTATGTAGTGGGAATGAGCACTTAAGATGTACCTTTCCATTTTTTATCTGGGCTTCCTAAGCCCATAAATGTGTCCCCCATTTAATGGTTATAAAAATTAAGTGTGAAGTTCAAATCAAGTAAAGCATTTAGAACAGTGCCCCGAAATTGTGACATCTTATTACTTGCTAAGCATTAAATACGTTCTCGTATATGCAGTGAATTTCTGGAAGAAAAAAAAAAAAAATACAAGAACATGGTAAGAAGGGCCCTGGCTGGGTAGCTCAGTTGGTTAGAGTGTTGACCGACAGGCCAAGGTTGCTGGTTCGATTCTGGTCAGGGCACAAACAAGAGGCAACCAATGAGCGCATCAATACATGGAACAACAAATCTCTCTCTCTCTCTCTCTCTCTCTCTCTCAATAAATAAATAAGAAAATTTTAAAGAAGAACAATAAGCGCTTATTCTCAGCTGGTCTGCAAAAGACCCTCTGAGCACCAACCCTAGTCCCCTGCGTGGCTCCGTTTTCTCTCCAACAACACGAAAGAAACAATCAGGAGCCACGAGGCGCTCACCAAACTGCAGGCACATGTGCGCATTGCTGGGAAGGGCACCGCTCATAGAAAGAAGGAGGCGGGTCACAGAACAGCTACCGCAGATGATAAAATACTTCAGTTCTGGCCCTGGCTGGTGTGGCTCAGTGGATTGAGTGCTAACCTGCGAACCAAAGGGTCACAGGTTCAATTCCCAGTCAGGGCACATGCTTGGCTTGCAGGCCAGGTTCCCAGTGGGGGACGTGTGAGAGGCAACCACACATTGATGTTTCTCTCCTTCTCTCTCTCTCTCTCCCTCCCCTTCTCTCTAAAATAAATAAATAAAATCTTTAAAAAATATGACACTTCAGTTCTCCCTAAGGAAGTTAGGGGTAAACGATCTCTCTGGTACCGAAGAGGTAAATATGGTCACAAACCAGGGAACAGCGATCCACTTTAACAACCCTAAAGTTCAGGCACCCCTGGCAGCAAATGCTTTCACCTTTATGGGCAACGCAGAGACAAAACAGCGGACAGAAATGCTGCCCAGCATCCTGAACCAGCTCGGCACAGACAGTCTGACTAGTTTAAGGAGACTGGCTGAAGCTCTGCCCAGACCTTCTGCGGATGGAAAAGCACCACTTGCTACAGGAAAGGGTGATGGCGATGAAGCTCCAGATCTTGTGGAGAATTTTGATGAGGCTTCCAAGAATGAAGGCAACTGAACCGAGTCTACTTCTGAAGAAGATAAACTTGAAGAAGTTACTGGGAGCTGCTATTTTGCATTGATTGCTTTTTCAAATTGTGTTTCCGGATCGGATAAAATCTAGATCTCTATTATTTTTAAGCCCTAGCCCCTTGGACACAGCAGCTTTTCTCAGTTTTTGCTTATACACAAATCATTCTTTGCAGCCTATGAAGCTGAAAGAAGCCTGGGAATAAAGTTTGAAACCAAGGTTAATTTAAAAAAAAAAAACAACAGTAAGAGGGGAGATGGATTAAGAAACTGGAAAAATAAGATGTGTGTGGGGTTTATCAGACTTATATGTTTGTGAGATATGATTGACATGTAATATTGTATAAGTTTAAGATGTACAAGGTGTTGGTCAATACATTTGTATGTTGCAATATGGTTACCACTAGAGTATACTGTTGATTTGATACATTTATATAATTGCAAAATGGTTGCACCATAGCTTAGCTAACACTTCCATTTCATCACATAATTGCTATCTGTTTTGTGGAAGAAGCACTGAAGATCTATTCTCTTAGAATTTTTGAAGTTTATAACACAGTATTGTTGACTATAATCATTATGTTTTGCATCAGATCTCCAGGACTTATGTATCTACTAGTTGCAAGTTTGTACCATTAAATATTATCTACCTAGTCCCCTCTGCTCTGGTAACCACTATTTTACTCTGTTTTTATGAGTCTTGTTTTTTAGTTTCCACATATAAGTGAGTTCCTATAGTGTTTGTCTTTCTCTATCCGACTTATCAAACTTAGCATAATGCTCCTAAGGTCCATCCATGTTGTAATCATTTTTTTAAATTGAGAAATAATTGACATATAACATTATATTAGTTTCAGGTGCACAACATAATAATCTGATATATTTATATAATGCAAGGTGATCGCCACACCCATCACCAAACATTGTCACAAATTTTTTTTCTTGGGATGAGACCTTTGAAGATATCCTCTCCTGTTACTTTTCAAATACACAACCCAGTACTGTTAGCTATAGGCATCATGCCATATACATCATGTTCCCACGACTGGCTGACTTTATCATTGGAATTTGTATCCGTTTGTAATCTTTTTTTCTCCTATGTCCACCCTTTTGTCTTTTGTACAAAAGTAACTTATACTTGGTAACTTACCATGTAAATTATTACTGAGTCGGAGGCTGGGCACACAATTCCACTGGGCGGGCAGGGAGCCTTAAGAGCTCAAAGGAAGATGGGTGTCCGCTACCCAGTCTGGAAAGAGACGGGAAGGAGCTTGTTCCTGCAGGGAAGGCAGCCTCCACTGTACAGATAAAGATAGCGATAAGCAAATAGCAATTGTTGGCTTGCGCCCAAGCAGGCAGCTGGAAGGAAAGCCAGAATTGGAACCCCTGGCCTGCAGACTTGGACTCTCTCCCAGCACCTACCGCTGGGACAGAGGTTCTGTGAGTCAAGCTGCGTCCTCCCGGCAGACTGGCCGCGGCTCCGGGGCTGGCATCACATCCAGTCCCTCTCTGGGAACAAGGGTCCGAGACGGTTTCCAGAACCCCGTCTCATGGCCCAGATAAACCCAGGCCTGGCCTCACCCCTCGCGATCTCTTCTCTCTCTCTCTCTCTCTTTCTCTCTCTCTCTCTCTCGCTCTCGCTCTCGCTCTCGCTCTGTCACAGAGTCTGGGGCAGGGTATTTCTGAAAGAAAACCAGGCAAAGTTTTTTCTGTGGATCTGGGCCTGCTGAGGCCTCCTCGGTGCTGCGTTCTCCCTCTGGGGAGGCGGCGGAGGGGAAAGTGCATTTATTTGAGACTTTGGAAGACAAAAATGATTCATTCTTTCCTTCAGCAATTATTTAGTGGCCTTGTGGGATGGTCACAGGCACAGGGGATATGACAATGGATGAAACAGACATGGTCCCTCAAGGCACATTCCAGGGAGAGAGACAGAGAAATACATAGGCAAAGACATACATAAAATGCTTTCCAACATAAAAGATGCACCCTGGTTGGGTGACTCAGTTGGTTGGAGCGTCTTTCCATGCACCAAAAGGTTGTGGATTCAATTCCTGGTCAGGGCACGTACAGGAGGCAACCAAGCGATGTTTCTGTCTCTCTCTCTAAAATCAATAAAAATATCCTTAGGTGAGGATTTTTTAAAAAGGGACACAGTCGAAGCTGTGGGAAAGACCCCAAGGCTAACGCGGCGCATGGCGGAGAGAGGACCAACCTGAGGCGGTAGACAAGTAGATGAAATGAACAGGAGCTGGAAATAGGAGGCCCTTGAGGATATGATGAAGACCCCATCCGGCTTTTGTTCCGAGTGGAAAGGAAAGCAATTAGAGGCATTGAGAAATGGAAATGACAGAATCCGATTTGTGTGTTTATTTTTTAGATTTTTTTAGAAGATTTTATTTATTTATTGTTTTAGACAGAGGGGAAGGGAAGGAGAAAGAGAGGAAAAGAAACATCAATGGATGAGAGAAACATCAGCCTGGCCTGCAACCCAGGCATGTGTCCTGGCTGGGAATAGAACCAGTGACCTTTCGCTTTGCAGGTGGGCGCTCAAGCCACTGAGCCACATCAGCCACAGTGGACTTGGGTGTTTAAAAGAATCTCACTGCACAGAGAAATGACAGCAAAGTGGTGGAGGAAAGACAGGAAGTCGAGTCAGGAGGCCAGAGCAGATGAGGTCCTTGGGAAGATGCTAGGGGCCTTTGCCTGGGGGAGGCGGGGAGGGGGGGCAGAGGACATAAGGCTAAGTGCAGTGACTGGGGCAAATGCTTCGCTCAGCAGATATTTACAGAGCACACGGTCCTGTTATGAGCACTGCACATAAACCCATGAAGAAAACCAAGTGCCCATCCTCATGGGGCCCCTCCCCCACAAGAGGAGACACAGTGATTAACCACAGGTGCACATGGCCTATCACATGACCTCAGAGAGTGATATATGCAATGAAGGAAAATAAAGCAGTGCTTGGGAGCACGATCAGATAAAGTGAGGTCTCCCTGGCCCTGGCTGGGTAACTCAGGTGATTAGAGTATCATCCCATTACACCAAGGCTGCAGGTTCAACTCCCCTACCAGGGCACTTATAAGAAGCAACCACTGAATGCATGAAGAAATGAAACAACAAACTGATGCTTCTCTCTCACATGACTAGTTCTTTTTTAAGGAGGGAAAATAATTATTTACTTATCCAAGCAATAGACCAAGTTGTTTAGAAGGGAAAAGAAATCAGGTTACCGTCAAATATTTTGAGCACAGTTCTCTGTTCCAGGAAAGAAAAGTGTAACGACTCTATGATACTCAGCTGCACAATTTAAAAAAAATACATCTTGACCAAGTGGGGTTTATTCTAGGAATGCCAAGATGGCTAAAATCAGGAAATCATTAATTAAATTTATCATCTTAACAGAACTAAGTGGGGAAAAAAATCATATGATCATCCCCAGATATGCCAAAATGGCATTTGGCAAAGTGTCTATTAATGTTAACACAAAATTATAGTAAATAGGAAGTGATAATTCTTTACAATATTAGGTAGGCAGGTTGATAGATGGATAGATACTCAATTTTAGCCAAAAGGCAGAGAAGCAATGGATAAGTAGATAGATGATAGCTAGATAATAGGTACATAGACAGATGCTAGATACATAATAGGTAGATATATAGAGATGAGAGTAGATAGATAGTAGCTGGGGATAGATAGATAGATAGATATAGATGGTAAATAGGTAAATGTAGATAGATATCTTAGCCTCAAATTCAGTATCTTAATGAATAAATATTAGAGGCTGTAATAAAAATAACAGTAGAAGCTAAATTTAAATCAGGAACAAGACGAGAACGCCCACTATCTCCACAACTATTTAGCACCAGAGAACTTGTTTTCCACTCTGTGCTAGACAGGACTTCTGTACTATTTGATAATCCCCATTTGGGAGAAAGGAATTCTATTTTAATTGACTTGGCACGTTCGTTTGCCAAACATTCTTCGCACTTCTACAGTTTGTTGGGCCCTTTTAGGTCCAAGGGACATTGCGCAAAACAGAAAGGACCCAGCAGTCAGGCTGACAGTTCGGGCTCACTCGATGGTGCTGCCCTACAGAGTTTACCAGGCTAGGCAGCGGCTGCCTTCTTCCTACCAGATTCCTTGTGGGATTGTCTCCACCCGAGGAAAGCCACACAAGGAGACTAATCCAATTCCTTTCTCTGCCCTTGACTGAGGACTAATCAAGCATCTCCTGGATGCTTGATTAGTCTCAAGGGGCCATCATGCACAATTTGACAGTCACCAACTAGTAGACAAAAGGGATACTCCTCAGAGGGCGTTTTCTTCCTCTTTCCTCTCTTCCTCTTTTCCTTTGCCAGCCCCCACCTCTTTCTTTTCCCCCAGCCCCACTCCACACCTCCAGCCCTTCCTTTTTAAACAATACCAAAAAAAAAAAAAAAAAAAAATTACCACATTTTGCCGTGTATCATGCACTCCCATGTATAAAACACACCCACATGTTGTGTGCATTGTACACGGGATTATCACACCCATCACTATATCTAAGGTATGTAATCGTTATACCCACATATAACATGCATCCTTATTTTTTCCTCAAAAACTTGGGCAAAAAGTGTGTGGTTTTACGCGGCAAGGTGCGGTAAGTGCTTGCTGCCTAGCAAACCTGTACCTGCTCTGCCTCAGCCTCCGGCAAATGGCCGGAATCCTTGGAAGTCTCCTTGCTGCCGCTCCCCCTTTCTCCTTTGTCCAAAACGACACAAGTGCCCACCTCGTGCCTGGCTTTGGAAGGTTCATGCTTTTGCGAATTTCGCAGGCACACGTATTAAAATTGGATTTTCTCCTGTTAAGTGAAAAAAAAAGTTAATTGTTTTGAAATACAGGTGCGCCTCGTTTTATTGCGCTTCGCTTTATTGCACTTCACAGTGGATGTGCTGTTTACAAGTAGAAGACAAGGCCCTGCAGGAGCCAGAAAGAGCCCAACTCGCTTTA